TGATACTTCATCACAAAGTGGCTGAAACACAGAAGCAAGTGAGTTTTGTTGAATGATTGATTGACACATTCATTTGTTCATTAACCGTTTACAGAACACTCCTGTATTTACACACTCTTCTACATGCACTGAAGAGTAAGAAGAGATTCTAGTACCCTGAGACTTCACATCAAACTGAGTAAAGATAATTACTGACATTAAATAAAATTAAATAAAGCCTGGCTGTTGTGACTCATACCTGTAATCCCAGAACTCAAGAGGTTGAGGCAGGAGGATTGTTGTGAGTTAGAGGCCAAATGAGCTTCAGAATGAGACCCAGTCTCAAAATCAAAACAAAACAAAACAGACAAATGCAACACAACAAAACAACAACAACAACAACAAAAAAACCACACACACGTTCCCTGAATCAGGAAGGGAAACCTTACTAGGTACATTAGATTACAGACCCGAAGCAGCCATGAAAGTGTCCGGTGCAAGACCACTCTAGACTAAGGTTCAGGCAGATAGTTAAAGCCTGGGGCTGGAGATGAATTTGGCAGCTCAGAAAGAGGTAGATGAAATCTTGGAGGCTACAGTGAGTGAAATACAGCACGGGCTTTAGATTTGGAACATATGGTCAGATTTAGGGTTTTAAAAGCTCATGGGCTTCCATATGAAGAAATGTATGACAATGGCGGAAAACTAGTTCTCATCATTGTTCAGTTCAGAGAAGACTATTCAAGTATGGCTTTAATGGTTAAATATGTACAGACTGCTTACCTAAGGGGTTGCATGGTAAAACTGGATTTAGAATGAAATTGGAACTTAGTACATGAAAATTAATAAAATAAAAACAGAAGTCCGAGTTTAGATAACTACCAACCAAAGTTCTATAAAGATTGAGAATTAAAAAAAATGAATTGAACTTCTAGGTAAAAGGTAGATGTTACTGAACTGTGTGGCTATTATGAGACAATAAAACATTTTTTCCAAAATTGAATGGAGTTTTGGGGGTGTGTGGAAAGGTCAAAGATCCCCAAACTTGATTTTCTGTCAGAATCACTTTGGAAGTGAAGCAGGAAGACAGATGAGACAATTAAGGAATAGGAAGTGAGAACAATGACCCCAGGAGATTTCAAGTTCAAGAGAGCTTAACACAGCTGCTGGCACTGATGGAGAGGAGTGATGGATGCATCTTAGATAGCAATAATTAAACTACACAATAGCACCTTTCTACCATGCACTGTTTTTGGTTTCCTTCTAAGTTACTTTTATCCTTATGATACTCTGAAGTAGATAATGACTACTCACATATGATTTCTACCATACAGATGTGGAAACAGGATAGATTGACAGTTGGTATATTTAGTAAACGTCTGAGCTATCATCTCAATCCTGGTCAATGCCTGGCTACCACTTTTATTTTTACACCAAATGCCTCTCAAAGATAAAGTAATGAGATTGAGTCTCAGTGAATGTATCATACATGATTAGTCTTCATGTGTCCTATGAAAACATAATATGACTTACATACATTTGTATCATGCTTCTATGACATTTTCACCTTTAAATTCTTTGACCTAACTACCATAAATTTCATGAGACGGCTGTATTACTTATTTCCTATATTGCTGTGACTAAATACTTGTTGAGAAAGAGAATGGGTTTGTGCACCAGGGTAAAGACTATCATGGTTGTGGAGGTAATAACATGTGTGGTTCTTGGTCATGGAGCATCAGAAGCATGATACTGCTTGCTTACATCTGGATGGAGCAGCAGAAACTTGCTACTGCTCGCTCACATCTGGATATGTGAGGAAGTAGAAAGCAGAGAATAAAGGCATCCACATGGTTTCTCCTTTCACTTAGTCTGGGGCTACAGCCCATGGGACGGCACCAAGTACATTGAAGGTTTGTCTTTCTTCTTCAATTAAACATCTGTGGAAACCGCTCTCCCCCCAAAAAATACCAACACAAGTTTCATCTTTATGTGATTCCAAATCTAGTTAAGCTGGCAATGAGGACTGGCCATCACAATAGGTATTGGTATCTTAACTCCAATCACACCTTCAATTTTGTGATGGATTCAGCAGGTGAACAAAAACATTTAATCATGGTAACAAAATTCCAAGAATCCAGTCTCATCTAGCAATCAGTAAAAGACTTCTTCCTTTGTGTTCAAACTATGGAAGACCTATAACAGGATGCTGTTTTGCTGGCATGCTCTCTAATGCTATGTTGATTATATGTGGAACCCTCAAACTGAAGCCATGGGAATGAGTTCACATGTCAATCAGGTTGAAAAAGTCTACCTCAAAGAGGTAACTAATACACCAATCAGTTTTCTGGGAGGCCAGTTGTTTTGGGCAAAGCAGATATTGGGGTTCCAGAGGTAAGAGACTTTCTGAGCTGGGTGTGGTAATGTATGCCTTTAATTCAAGATTTCAGGAGGCAGAGACAGGCAGAATTCTGTGAATTATAGGCCAGCCTGGTCTACATAGAGATGAGAGACTTTCAAGAAACCTCAGAGATTTTCAGAGAGATTATTGTGTCATAGTGAGTTGTGGTGGTTTGAAAGAAAGTGGTCCCAATAGGGAGCAACAGTATTAGAAGTTATGGCCTTGATGGAGTAGGTATTGTGTTGTTGAAGGAAGTGTAGCATTGTGGAGGTAGACTTTGAGGTCTCATATATGCTCAACATACTTCCCAGTATCTCAGACCAATTCCTGTTGTCTTCCCATCAAGATGTAGGACTTTCAGCTTCAGCACTATGACTACCTGTATGCCATCATGTCATACCACAATGATAATGGACTAAAGCTCTGAAAATGTAAGCCACCTAATTAAATGTTTTTCCTTTATAAGAGTTGCCATAGTCATCGTGTCTCTTCACAGCAATAGAAACCCAAAGACATGAGTAGAAGAAATTTTTTGATAGAACTACCATTTTATAGGTCAGGGTCTGTGGCAGTTTGAATGAGAATAATTCCCATAGGCTCATGTATTTGAATACTTGGTTCCTAGTTCTTAGACTGGCTGGGAAGGATTAGGAGGTATGGCCTCGGAGAAGGTGTATCATTAGTGGTGGGCTTGAGGTTTCAAAACTCCATGTCATTCCCAGTTATCTTCCTTTGCCTCTTGCTTGTGGATAAGATGTGAGCTCCAAGGTATGCTCTATCATCACGCCTGACTGCTTGCTGCCATGCTTTCCACCATGGTGGTCATCGACTCTAACCCTTTGCAACTCTGAGCCCCAAATTAAATGTTTTTTGTTTTTTTTTTTGTAAACTGACTTGGTCATCATGCTTTGTCATGACAATAGAAAATTAAGATGGGAACTAAAAATATAGAGGTAAAGAATTGAGTCCAAAATAAATTTGAGTTGACTGTGGTTCCAGGCTAGGCATGTTGAGAGTAAAAATGAGTCTATGACCATAACACTCTGAACCTATATGATCTCATCTGAGAGCACAAATGAAAAATAAAAAATAAAAAAGATCTTAAATGCAGTGTGACAAACAGGCACAGGAGATAATAACAGATGTGTAGGGTTCTGGGGTGAAGAACAGTAAGGAACAGTGCATGTTCCATTCTGGGCATTCACAAGAGGTTTCCTGGAAGAGACAATGCTTCAGCTGAGCTTTAAAAGATGAGTCAGATGTAATTAGCCTGTAGAGATGGTAGAATGAGTGTTCCAGATGGAAGGACTACACTTCAGCAGAGAATGAGGCCAAAAATGCATGTGATTTGTGTATAGTCAAAGGGCCTTACTTGGTTGTAAATGGGGAAGGGATGATTACGGAGAGGTACCAGTTGAGATGGAAGTCAGAGAGACTGGGTGGTAAGGACTTAGTTTTGTAAATGATGAGAGTTTACAAGATGCTACGTAGAATATTTATACTGCTACACAGGCACTGTCCTTTCTGTGGTTCTGGTGCCTTGGGTACAGGAGGCAAGTATCCTACCATTGAGCTACATTGCTAGCCCTTGTTTTTGTGAGACAAGGTATTATTATTTACTACACAATATATACTACACAACTCAGACTGGTCTTGAACTGGTTATCCTCCTGCCTCAACCTCTCATGTCATGGGACTCTTTTATCTGCCACCAACCTATCTCTAGGCACATCTAAACTAGTTAAGAGAGGAAACAGAAGGTTCATCATGGACGTACTAGAATGATCCTATAAGAATTTTGGTTATGGCAATGATAGTAGGGATGGAAAGAAAAAAGTCATTGTTACTGTTATTGTTTTGTCCATTTGCCTTTTGAGTTCATATCTCATCCATAGGTCAGGCTAGCCTGGGACTTATTGTGTAGCACAGGCTGGTTTTGAATTCATGATCCTCTTGCCTTCCTTGCCTGAGTGCTGGGACTGAATGTGTAAGCCTCACAATCTGGTACGCTTCATTTTCTAAGAAAGACCATTTAGAACATAAAATCCCCTCTGTTTGGTGATAGTGTGGATGTGTGAGCATGGACAGAGATGGAGAAATAAAATTAGCTAGCTTGTATAGCTGCAAAGGAGGGATCCCACTAACAGAGCTAGACAATAAAGGAGAAACTTACAGACTGAGTTCATATAGAACATTCTTGAACTTTCCATTTTACATCCAGGCTGAGAAGTTGAGAAGGAAGTTTGGGACCAGGCATGTGCTTTTGGAGGTCACCACACTATGGATAGTAGCTGAATCATGAAACTGTGAAGGTTATCCAGGAACAAAACAAAGAGGCATGTGTAACATGAATGTTTCTGGCTCAGCTGGGTCCTGTCACCTTTCTATACCCCAGAGAAACACACAGATGCTATATTAGTCATGAAACTGTTGGCCAGAGACTCAGGCTTCTTATTCACTAGCTTTCTTAAATATTAAACCCATCTTCTATAAATCCAAGTATTTCCACGTGGTCTTGGCTTACCGGAAATGTTAGACCTCAAACTCCTTTGCCTGCTACATGATGACTGCTCATCATCTCGGCAGAGAAGAGAGTGATTTCCTGTTTGTCTGCTTATATACTGATTCTGCCCAGCTATTTCACTTCCTGTCTGTCTGTACAGACACTCTATGGTTAGCTTGTGGCAATTTCTGCCCAGCTACGTCACTTCCTGTGATCATACGACGATGACTCTTCTCTGACTACACTTTTCAGAATCCTCCTCATATCCTAGTCCTACCTATCTTGCTGCCCTATTGGTCAATAGTGTTTTAATCAGCAACTAATAAGATAAGCATATACACAGAAGATCATTTCCCATCAGGCATGGCGAAGTTAGCTATCTCTGATTGTCCAAAGATTTGCTTGGTGCTGAGTTAAGGCAAAGTCATGGTAACCTCAAGTTATCTGAGTCTAGATAGGGGAGGTTGTCATATGTTTCTTCTAGGGATTCAGGAAATTAGTTTAGATGATAGCAAGTTGTTTGAGTAGAAGGAGGAGTGACTCAAGCCACTAACCCCTAGGTTGTTGTTCAAGGGACTCCTAGCATTCTGTCAGGAACTTGGGATTCAGAACACTTATTGGTTATCTGTTACATAGACTTGTCAGTTATCAGAGATTTCAGAAATCTCTTCACTGTTAGAAGAATTGCTTTAGATACCAAGCACCTACTGCCTCTGATGTCTCTTCACAGCCCCTAGCAAAGTGTAAATTATCCCCCAAGACACTGGACTAACGATGTCTTGCCCTTGGGAGTAGCCTTGCCCAGGATAAGTGTCACTTGAGAGACATCAAATTCCCTGACCTTGCCCACACATGACAGCTTGCAAGAACTCCTGAGGAAATAGAGATTAGGGAAGAAAACATCATCAAAAAGCACTCTAGCCTGTCTGTGCCACCTCCTGTGCCTCTAGCCACTAAGCAGATGGAGCCATGACATTTGTTAGGCGCCCGGGACGGATTCAGGAGCACGTCCTTGCTCTCACCAAAGAATCAAATCCCCAGGATCCGAGAATTAATATCCCACAATATTCCTCAAACATCCTTCCCCTGTGCAGTGCATCTATGCTCACCCACTGTTTTCATCTTGTATCCCTTTCATCCCCCTGTCTCATATTGAACGCCTGCCGTGCTGGAAGCTTCTGTCTGTGATCCTCCTACCAAGCTGTACATATGGTCAAACTTGAGACATGACAATGCCCTTCTAGGATACTCTTTCCCCAAGGCCTGTTTCCCAAATGATCCAAGGAGTCACCTCCGCATGAGCCCATCTATAGGGAGCTGACCACTTCTTCTTGTCCCACTGGGAACTCTTGCAGCCTTTGTCAAGCTCTGAATTGTGTGAGGGAGGAGGGGACAACTGTCATAGTCATGCCTGTGGAGAAAAGCAAAGCGGGAGTCATGTGACACAGTTCAACTGCAAAGCGCTCTTATGAATTATGCCTCTCCAAACAGAGCTACACTCTGTCCGCACAGACTCCCTCACCTTAAAGAACAGGGGCTCTCTGGGGTCTGGAAGGATGCTTGTTGGATAGTAGGATCCATTTCTGGCTAGGATTTTGGGTTCTACTACTGCCGGCCTGCTGTGTGACAGACTTCCCCTGGGGAGACAAAATACACATGTCTACTCACTCCAGAAAGGGAACTTGCAACAGACCAGAGTAGTGATTGCAGCAATGTCCAATTTGGTGAACCAATGAAACTTCTGTTGGGGTTACTAATAAGGAACAGGGATAAATTAAAAGCAGCTTTATCACCAGAAAGTCCACCCCATCATGGATGACACCTCCCCCAAACTGAAAGCCTGGAGCTCTCTACATAGTTGGGAGGCATCTCCAAGGGCTCTCTGTCTGTCCCTCCGTTCCCCCTCTCCCACTCTCTCTACATTTTGACTGCACAAAATCTCTACCCCAGCAATTCTTTCTATACTGCTGCGTAGGTGTCTTTATGTGATCTTTTGTTTACCTCCTGAGTCTCAAAAACTCCTTCCTTCCTGGGGGAAATGTATCAGTTTGAAGGGAGTGTTGACAGACCATAACTTGAAGAGAATCATGACAGCCCAGTTCAGACTTGCCACTATGGGCCACTTTGTTGTCTCTTCAGGAGGTGGCATTGACATGGGCAGTAAAGTGACCATGTCCTGGAGAGACAAGAAGATGGACTAACAGATTGGTAGGTGGCTGGATGGAAGAGAGAGCTAATGGGGTGCGTGACGGTTAATATCGTCAACATTTGACAGGATCTAGAATTATCTAGCAGACAAATCTCTGGGTATGTCTGTGAGGAAGTTTCTAAACTGTGTTTACTGAGGTGTGAAGACTCACCTTAAATATGGGTGGCACCCTTCCATGGGCTGGGGATCTGCACCAAATGAAAACGAATAAGCCAGTTGAGCATTTGTCTGTCCCATTCCTGATCAAGGATGCAAAGTGACCAGTTGCCTGTCACCATGGCAGGTTAAGTGATGTTCTGCACCCTAAAACCATGATTTAAAGGAAAACAAGCCCTTCCATTTAAATGCTTTTGTCAATTTAATTTGTTGTAGCAATGAGAAAATTAACCAACACAGGTTTTGTTGCTACACTGAGGAGATGCTCACATTTCCATAGTCAAGCTCACAGGGACAGTGAGAGACATGTGGAGGATCAGTGGGAATATAGTGATCCTGAAAGTTTGGAAGAAGTCTTCTCTAAAGATACAAACTTGGGGTAAGGGGACTTTGCCCAAAGAAAGAAATGAGCCTAAGAGGAAGATGGGTAGGAGATAAGAGAGATATAGAAGGACATGGGATCAAGAATGAAATTGAGGGTGGAATGTTCCAGGAACCAAGAAAGGAGAAAGATGTGGCGTGGTACGGAGAGTGGTTACAGGGAGACTCAACTAGGAGGAGTCAGGAAATTTTCAGTAGATAGATAGGATCCCAGTCAGGTAGTCCAAGAGCTGGTGGCCATCTAAGAGGCTGGTACAGGCTTTGAAACCTCACTGTGTACTCTTGCTTCTCAGCTCATTTACTCAGTGGCTATGGGACTCTGGCTGTTTTCTTATCATTGAAGTCAGAAAAAGATAGCAGAAAGCAATAAAGACAAAGGGCATTCCATACATGAAATTATAAAAGAACATATACATTTTAAAAGATGAAGAGTCCAACCCTGCATGACATCAACACTATAAAGAGCCTGCTATATAGTGGGGACTTCGAATGTTCCCCCAAGCCCCACGCCTTTAAAGGCTTGGTCCTGGTCCACAACATTCTTGGGAGATGATGGAACCACTAGGCAATGAGCCCTATGAGATAGCAGTTAGGACACTCAAAGCAGGCCTCCATGGGGGACACCTTGACTCTTGAATCTTGACTCTGTGCTTCCTGGTTGCTGTGACGTGAGCAGCATCCTTTACTACAAGCTCTCACCACAATGCACTGTGCCAGCCCAGATCCAGATGCCAAACAGATGTGGACCATTACCAAATGGTGAGCCACTTTTAAAAATGATGTCACTGGGTTAAAAACTCAATTCAGTATCTTTGTGGGTTTCAAATTCTTGGTGTCTTGCTATTCTAAACAAGGGCAGATAGGTAGATGGATGGATAAATATTGGTAGAAATGGATATATTGGTGATCGTTAGATTCAGGTGGTAAGTTGGCTGGACTATTGTGACAAGATATTTGGTTAAACATTCTGGATACTTTTGTAAAGTTGAAATTGATATTTAAAATGGTAAAGCAGGTTAGCCTTTATGTCATGGGTGAGATTTCTCTAATCACCTGCGTAGACAATAGGTGGCCTCTTATATGCAAGAAGGAATTCAGACACAGGCTGGCTTGGGTCTGGAGCTGCAGCTCTTCCTGGAGACCCCAGCCTACATCTGCATGGTCCTATTATTTAAATTTCTCTGTCTCTCCTAATCTCTTTCTCCTTTTTCTTCCTGTTTCCTTCTCTTTCTCTTTTTCATTCCCTCTTTGTCTCCATCGCCCCTTCACATCTATTCATTTCTATATTTGTCTGTTTGCAACAGAGCTCTTCAGAGAACCATAAGCAACACAATATACACAAACGCGTGTGTTTGTGTACATGTGTGTATATCACAACATGTTTAAAGTATTATATATATATTTAAATGAAGGGGGCAGAAGAGACAGACAGATAGAGAGAGAGGAGGGGGTCTCATGCAGCCTGGGCTGACTTTGAGTTCACTATGTAGTTCTGAATGACTTTAAACTTCTGACCCTCCCACCTCTACCTCCAGACTGCTGAGACTATAACTTGTAGCACCAAGTACTACATATGCTATGTGGAGCTAGAGATTGAAAGTAGGGCTTCCTATATGCTGGGCAAGCACTATACCAATAGTGCTAGTCCCCCCCCCCCCCGACATCTGATGACTTACATGTTTGCTTTCCATCCAGTTCTTAAGAGGACACACTTGAGTATCTGGGCTGCTGGAGGAAAGCTCCAACCGAGGAACATGAGCCTTCCCCCTCTTCAAGGAAATGATGTCACACTGTTCTGAAACACACTTTAACCATTTACTTTATTTTTTTTTTTTTGCCTCCACATATCCATTTGAATAATGATTACTCATCCTCTGGAAGATTCGCAGAATGCTGGCTGGATGCAGCAGTCATCTCTACAGTGTCTCTACCCCCAGTGAAGAGGAATGTGTTGGGTGAGGACAAGATCAACCTCCCTTATAGTAATAAAGAACAATTAATAGAGATGCTTCTTGAATGGCCCCTGCAACTTGCACTGCATAATTGGTAGGATGTAATTGTGGTGTTGTTTTTTTTTTTCAATAAATCCCCTCTTGCTTTCATCTTTGTAAGTCTTCCAATTCACCACAAAATAGAAAACTGAACTCATGTGATAAACTAATGGAAAAGCCAATTAGCTATCTTGACACACTGCCAGTGACAAAAGCAAGGGGAGGGGCTATAGAACTGTTGAAAAAGACGTTAGCACAGGGAGCATTCTGTTTTATTGTTATTTTTCTCATCATAGGTTAACCTCTCTGTTAGTTCACATAAACACTGACCCCACAAAGGAATGGCTGGACATGTGCTCCAACCTCACATGCTACAGCCACCTGATGTGGCACCCACATGCAGGAAAATGGAATATGAGGCAGGGCCACTTTCTTCCTGCTGGCAACCCCAGGCCAGGTTCAGTATGATCATCTCGTTTGTATCTGCGATACTTGATGTACCAAAATAAACCTTGTTGGAGCAATATTTATTTACAAGGCTCTTCTGCTTTTCCGGAAATTTTCAGTACTATGTTCTCCTTGGAACTACTCCAGGCATACTCCCTAAAAAGATTTGAAAACACACAATTTTATAAACCATCAAAAGAATTAAGAGTTAAGTAAGTCCTCACTGTGGAAAAAGTTGCAATTATTAAAGTAACTACATATCCTGTTACTGATTTGACATCTTGTTCATGGTATTTTTAGTATCTTTTCTTGCCTTCCCAAAGTATGAGTTAGATTTTGTGATTTGGAATCTCACTTTCACATGTGAAAGTGACAACAGCCCAAATGCTGATTGACAGACAAACAAAGTGTAGAGGACATAGAGTGGACTGTTACTCAGCCTCAAAGTGGAGCACCCTTCAGTTACTTGGTATCATGAGTGAACCTCGAGCATATTGTGGCATTGCTCTATGGGAAATAAGATAAACATAAAAGGATAACTAGCTTGTGATCTCCTCATGTGAATATTGCAGGTAGGCAAATTACAGCGTTGAAAAGTGCGACTCAATATGTCCATAAGAGTTGGATAGATGAGTCTGGTGTGGTAACTCATACCTGTCCCAAACTTAGGAGACTGAGGTACAATTGCCTTGAGTTTGAAGCCAGCCTGGGCTATATAGTTAGTTCAACATCAGTTGGCACTACAGTGAGACTGTCTCAAAGCTAACCAACCATCCACCACCAAAAACAATCATCAAAATGAAAACCCAAAAGCAAAGAGTTGGGTTGGTCTGCTGTCATTTAATGGTGTGCGCTTTGAAGGTGGAATGTTGCTCCACAAGTTCGCATCTCCAGCTGGATGTACTGTTGTGGAAGGAAGGGAACATTAAGGGAGTGAGGCCTTGATGGAGGAAGTGGATCACTGGGGGGTGGGCATTGGAGTTTTATAGCCTGGCGATACTTCCTGTCCTCTCTTTTTATCCTGATTGTGGGTGCTGAATGGCCAGCTGCTCATAACTCCTGTAGCCATGCCTTCCTTCCCTACTACAGAGGGCTGCATCTCCTCAAACTACCTGTCAAAACAAACTCTTCCATCCTGAGTTGTTTCTTGCCAGATATTTTGGTCACAAAAGTGAGAAAGGCTGGTGACACAAACGGACACAGAGCTTCTGGCCAGGATGAAGAAGATGGACAGTAGTGGCAGTTACACACTAATGTGTGTATACTTCATGCCAAAGAATAGTGCCTCCAAAATGGCCTTCAGGGTAAATTGTGTTATATATATTTTATTGCATTTTTAAAAATTGCCTACTTACCAAAAGCAAACAGACATTTACAGGATCTTTCTCTTGGGTCACTCAGGATGGGAGAAAACAGCCACTTACTCCAAATTCTCCTAGGTAGCTCTGTAGAGACGCCTTTCTTGAAAGGTTTCAGAGTTCAGGTACTGTCAGTGAGCAACCAAGGACTTAAGATAATCACCTTGAATGCCTTCTAGAAGCAGATTCTCCATGCCCATTCAGATACTGAAGTGATGGGAGCTGCTAGCGTGTTAGCTGGAGCTTCATGAGAAATGCAGGGCCTCCTGGGTAAGGAAGCACTCCTGGACTTCTGCCCATCAGAAACCATGAGGCAACACCCTTTTTAAAATCTCATAGTCATCTGTTGCAGCTGGAATGCAATATAAATACAAATGACTTCACAAATTCACACATAATGAGTGACAAACCTCACAATACTGCAGAAGAATTATAGTTGACAAGAACAAACTTCTTTCTATGCATTAACTAGGAAAGCATTAGTTTATGGAGTCAAGAAAGATGTCTGTGTTCTCTTCTTGATTGTTTCCTCCCCTTGCTTGTTTAGTCTGTAACATATGGCTATTCTCCCCTCAACTTCCATGTGGTCCCCTTCCCTATATTGCTTTGCATATGGTAGGGTATTTTTATACAATTCCAGAGTGTTCTTATTCTCTCTGTTGTGGTGATTCAGAATTCATACAGAATCCATGTTTCAAGCCTTATACTGAGATTTCTGAGTCCTATGGCCAAACATACAAGAACTAGGACCTCCACAGAGTAACACCTGCTACCTGTGTTTTCTCTCTCTTCTTGATCATCTATCTACCTTTATCATGGTGATGGCAAAATCCTTGCAAGCTTCTGAGGAGGTTACATCTGTAATGATACAACCAGAAAAACCATGCCACCACTCACCAATGTTGGATACAGGTTGTGTGGGGGCCTGCCTATAAGTACCATATGGCAAGTACAGCTTGGAGATCTGGTCGACCCAGAATTAGTATTCCCTATCTGAGGAATCATTTAACTCTGGTGGAAGGACTCAAGCAACTGGAAAAACAAGAAATTGTGAGTCTTGAGGGAGATGTGAATGAGAAGACAGAGACAGAGGACTTTGTGAGAACACCTGTGTAATAAAATTTCTAAAAATGAAGTAACTCATGTTGTGTTCTAGAAAAAGACATCAGTTCATGACTGGTAAACACTCATTATGGCAGGGTACTCCTGTGATTTGGTTGACAGAGATTACTTTTTGCAGGGGATGTTGGGTTTTGGTTTTTCAAGACAGGGTTCTCTCTGCAGCTCTGGCTGTCCTGGAATTTTCTCTGTAGGCCAGTCTGGCCTCAAACTCACAGAGATCTAATTGCCTCTGCCTCCCAAGAACTGGCATTAAAGGCATGTGTTAACACTACCCAGCTGGGGTCACATTCGTAAGTTATGTAAGACATCAGAAGGGATTGGTTTGTCCCAGGATTTCTCATGTTTATTATTAAGGACTCCACCCATTGTACCTTGGAAATGCCTCCTGCACATTTATGTTGGTATCTCACCTTGCTATGAATTTTCAAAGCAATATAAAATGAGAGTTGTAGATAAGGACCTTATACTTCCCACCTCTTGCTTTTTCAAGATCGTTCTGGGCTTCCATTGTGTCCTCATTAAAATGGGGTCACTCTATCTAAGATGCCTAGATTGGACCTGATGATCCATTGAAACCTCTTCCCACACTGAAGTCTATAATTCTGTGAGCTGAGTCTTGATGTCCACAGAGTACCATCATGATGTCCCTAAGGAGCCATCTTCAGGCTGATACTAGGACAAATAAGCAATGCTTCCATCCCCACACCCCACGTCCAACAACCCAGCACAGAAGTCTAGTATACTGAAAACTCAAGAATCTGAATGAGATTAGTGATAAATGGTTGGTAGCTTTACACATAATCATATTTGGGGGTTTATTTTAAACATATTCTTCTATCAGTAGGAAGATGAGACTCCAAGGGCTGAAGAGAGATCTGAAGGTCCCACTTCATCCGGAAGGCAGGCTGCCTGAGCAATAGAGCCATTTATATAAAACCTTGTCTGTGGTACACACTTGGACAGCATAAGAGCCTTTCCGGCCTCAACTCTGTTGCTTCATTGCTGTGGTGGACCCTGGCGAGGTAAGCTGGTCCTCAGACAATCTTCTGGGAACTTGAAACAGCCAGTAATTGCTTTCTTCTTCTTTATTTTTTCAATTTCTTATCAAATGGAAAAATCCTTGCACATAAGTCCTCAACCAGTCCTGGGGGTAGATCTTGAAGTCTCATTTGGTAGTGGCCCGGGGTTCACAGGCTCCCTAGGGAGAAGTGGAACAATTTGCTGGAAGTTCCTCACCCCCATCCCCTGACCTTAAACCCTCAGTAGAAATGAACAGCTGCATTTCAGAACAGAAAGATGAGGAACCCCTGCTGTAAAATGCTACTGTAACTTTAAGGCTCCCATGGAAATGAAAGCTAGGTCAAACCTATTAAGGGAGCAGGGAGGCACTTTCCTCAGGAAAACTGAGAACAGCAGAAGAGAACCTTTGCTGATGAAATTGGAGATCTTTGATTTCTATCTCACATTGACTTAGCAAATCTTTTTTAAAAAGAAATTTTATTTAAATTAGAAACAATCTTATTTTACATCTCAATCTCAGTTGCCTCTCCCTCCCATCCTCCCATACCCCCCATCGACCCCCCATCCCATCCACTCTCCAGGGAGGGTAAGGCCTTCCATGAGGGATCATCAAAATCTGTCATGACTTAGAAAATCTTAGGGAAAATAATTTAATTTGTGTTTGAGAATAGCTTATTTCCCAAAAGAAAAGGGGAGAGCGTTTGAAGATGGGCCCCCTGTCATGTTTACACTAGGCAAACTTATGTCTTTCAGCAACTGTCTCTACCCACTCAGCTCATAGAGAAGCATCAGGAAGTCTGCAAGTTAGTCATCCTACTACATT